TTATTTACTGCAAAGGTTTTAGAGATATTTATCTTATCTATTGGTTTGCATGTGGATTATCAAGTTTTGTTTAAATGACTTACAGAGAGGATAGTTCTGTATTGTTTAGGAAAGCATCATCGTGAAGGGATGTGATCAAATTGTCACGAAGACTTCTGAAGATTAAAAAGTATCCATTAAGTACAAAAGCAAAGGAATGCAATAATGTAAATAATTATTTCAGAAACGTTGAACACTGCATTTTTTGCATTCAAAGATCGCAATGCATTGTTGCAATTAAACACCACGTTAGCAACATTACAAATTGTATGTGACAATTCTAAACGTAATTGCTTTCAATTCAGAATTTCTTTACGGAACGGAGCTTAAATAGGTGAACAGCTATAGAGCGAACAACAATGCATTTCGGTCTTTGAAAAGAGAATGTCAATCGTTCGACGTTCTTGGAAAAAGCTTTATTAGGCAATGTAAAAACAACCTATCAGAGTACAGCCGCACTGAAAATGTTGCCTCTATGTTTGTTTGGGGTGAAACGTACCTCTTTTTTGTATTTTTTTGAATTATTACTTTTTCCTTGAGTGCGCAAAACTTCATTGAAATTGCTAAGAAACACAATACTTCGCGTGCTTGCTGCTAATAGCGCATACTTCTCAATCATCAAAGAGAGCTTGATATATCAAATAATTTGTAAATTATACCAGCTAGATGGAACAATGAATGTTTATTGAAGCAAGCTAATAAACAGGAACTTACAAAGCTTTTAGTTCTGGGAAAGCCAAGAATGTCCTGTTTCCAATAGAACGTACCAAATTTTTACCAATATCCCTAAGATTCAACCAAATACAGACCTGATTAACAATGCAGTTTGATCAAACATTGCTCTATTGTTTGGTTACTGATATGCCAGCATATAACAGTGCTATTGTGGTATTTCACAGTAGCATCAAAATATATAATAATTCACATCAAAATAATTCTACTATCACAGTTAATGAGTGATTGGCAAAGCATTATTTTAGCATAAAGGAATATAGAAGTGCTAGATTGAACATTGAATGAATGTAAAAGTCATGAACCGTAAACCAGCCTCTGGCGGCACGGATAGCGAATCTCACTTCCATGTCAGTGTTTACATTCAAGATCTGAATGTTGCAGCTGATTGGTCCGTTGATATCAGAGCGATATTATTGGTTGAAAATCAAAACCGGTTTTCAATCAGATACTCGACGAAAGATAAGTAATCAGAATCAAATGTAAAATGTTACGGGTCACTGATCTCCGTCGTGTATCAGAATTCTCACAAAATGTAAACTAAACAAAATCCCCAGAAGATGCCGTTAAAGCAAGACTTTACGAATCTGCAAAGTGTGTAGCTGCAGCCTCTCGAATTTGTAGACAGGGGACTTGCAGTTCATCTGGAGAAAAGATCGTTTTTAGTGAAAATATTTGCTTTTGAATTTATAGCGAGCAGCTACATGTCTCACCTTCACTCGGAAGTTAAAAAAACTCGAAAGTCTAAACCTTTTAGGACAAAGAATTATCTAATGTGAAAGAACTTTATCGTAGAATCTTCGTCGAGTATCTGATAGTCCAGTCCTGGCCTCTCGTTTCCGACGCTCGCGGAATCGCTTGGGAAAAGAGAGTCCAGTATAACTTGCATGCGCATGTGCAGGACCAGCCAATCAGAATAAAGTTGAATTTTGAGAGCCCGCAATTTATAATGGTCAGTGGTTTGTTTACTTCACGTGCACGCTATATTCTGTCAAAAATTCGAAAAATAATGGCGGCAGCTTCGGCTTGCAGATTTTGCACTAAAACTTGCGCTCCAGCCAGGCGTTCGGTTCTCTATAGTGCTTACGGTGATTACACTTAAAAAAAGACCCGTAAAAAAAGCGTAAAAAAAGACCCGTCTCTGTCGCATAACTAACAGCATTTAGAAAAGCCGGTCCAAAATTATTTTTGTGTTTCAAGTGGAAACTACCTTCCACCGCGCTCTCCGCCATCTTGGTAATTGTATAGGACTAGGTAACCTCGTGATTACCACATCGGTGTGGTAATCACGAGGTCGCTAAGCTGACATGCGCATGCAAGTTATACTGGACTCTCTTTCCCCAGCGATTCCGCGAGCGTCGGAAACGAGAGGCCAGAACTGGACTAAGTATCTGATTGAAAACCGGTTTTGATTTTCAACCAATAATATCGCTCTAATATCAACGGACCAATCAGCTGCAACATTCAGATCTCTTGAATGTAAACACTGACATGGAAGTGAGATTCGCTATCCGTGCCGCCAGAGGCTGGTTTACGGTTCAATCAACCGAATGCCACACGTAAAATACGTACAATAATCTACTTACAAGATTTTCAAACTTTCCACATCAATCCATGTTTCTTTTTCAATGTCCTTGATAAAATTCATGTTGAGTCGCCTGAATGTGTTTCGCTAATTAGTACGAATCTTTTCAAAATGAAGTTACGATTGTTTTTATTTACTTACAATGTATGAAATGATGGTAGTGAAGAAAATGCTTTTTCATCCATGCGAATAATCCTGTTGTAACTTAAGTCTCTAAAAGATAGAAGTAATGACAAAATTGAAATGAGAACATCGAAAGAAAATAATTACAGCTAACTATAATAAACACTTAANGAAAGAAAAAATGAAATTCATTATTTATAACAATTAAAACAATGATTGTGGAATTGATGATGGTGACAATTATGATGCTGTATCAATGACATTTACAGTATATCAAAATGAAATACAAATGAAAAACAATTTTTTTTTGAATTTTCCGAATTTTTGTAGCCAAAATTAACCTTATAAAGTGCCAATTATATAAGAACCCAATAATTGTGTTTTTCTAATTGTTAAACATTAGTTGTTAAAAAATGAAAGTTTCAATATAAAATTGAAAGTTTTATTTACATGACTGTTGTTTCACGAGGAAATCGAAGAGGAACTGCACTGATACTTCGTGACGAGACAACTATCTTTCCATCAGACAGCTTTCGACATTGGCAATCAGCTGGACAGTCTAAAACAAGAAGAATTTTGATATATTAGTAAGAATCATTTTATGCAAAATGTGTAAAGTTTTTTGATACATTAAAGTCAATTCAAACAAACTCCCCCGAGATCTGGGAAATACCGCACATTAGTTCCGGGTTGTCAAAGCTAAGAGACAAGTACTGAACCCATTAAATATGGTGTACGCCATCAAGATTTTTGGCATAGTAGGTTGTAAACACTAAAACCATTAAAACACTTTCTTAACTAAAATAGCGCCACGTCTCCATTCAATGTCCTGTCACTCAGAAAACCATCCTTTAAGATCCTACATCAATGAAGGTTTACCTTGTAAGCATCCTTGGTTTGTATCATTATCTGAAAAAGTAATGTCGCAATTAGCAGATCATTTCAATTAACAGTTGATATGATTCAATGACACTAACAATACATCCTTTAGATCGATTATATCATCTTACATGAATTCATACGTGCATCATGCTATTGATGAAAATATCAAGATTACGAATGACTGAAACTACCGAGGATTAAAATTCTTTGCGGAGACTGAAATTTACGCAATTGCGGAAGTCGATAATTATTTAGAAAATCATTTAATGAATAGATGCCGACAAACCAGTAAGACAAAATTTAAAGACCTGTCTGGGAAAAATTAATGCTGGCGGTTTGAAAAACTGCCTGAGACACCAGAAGCATGGACGAAAAACAACATACGAATAAGGAGTGTTTTATTAGTCGGACTAGACGAAGGCTAGGTCAACTTGAAATTTACCTTTTAGTTTATCAATCTATCTATCTATGTGTCATGTCGCGTTTGGACCACCGGAAGTTAAGAATTTAATAATTAGCTAATGAGTAGCCTGATTTTCAGACGGGGCCTGGGTCCTACGCTTCTCTCTAATGAGTTTTGTCTGTGTTATTACATGACCGGAAGCTCAAACGTATTGATGTACGAATATCGTTAGTAAATGTTAGATGCCACTTGCGCTTTTATATGATAAAAAAACTATTTGTTTACATATTTGGTATCTGTGATCTCATTGGAATGCATCAGTCTGGGGATCAGAAAGTACGCGCCTGTGCGAAGCTCCGAGTAGTATGCTTACGAACTAGCGTTAGACAGTCTTGTTTGGGTAAAGATTTAAGATTTTAAAGATTTTCAAATTAGAACAAGAAGAAACTTGTTTATCAATAACAAAAAGGCGACTTTGAATATTTTATAGGCATCTTTTATTACTCGTGACCAGGCCCTAGGCCGGGTCACGAGTCAGAAAATGCAGCGAGTTTAGTTTAGTTTTTTTTTTCTATGTGAGACCTTTGTCTTCGGGCTGACCTTTGCGTCCCGGGAACGCATATCACATAACGAACTCGGCTGTACCTTTGCCCCTGATCGCACTCCGATCTCTAAACGAAATATCACATTACGAACTCGGCTGTAAACAAGCGTATCATAGAACAGCAAAACTGCTCGGGATTTACTGTATCTTTTAAACTAACGAGATATAAATCAATACTTCGTAGATAAACGAAGCCCGTGGATGTGTCATACAGCACGCACTTTGAATTGAACAATTATTCTTCAAAACTCGGAATTATCGACTGTTGAGGTCAGACTCTGCCGCTTATTACTCATCTGAGTATTTGGGATAGCGGAAAGTTTTCTGTTAAAGGCGAAGAGATCTCAAGTTATACGATCGACAGCTCTTCTACATACGAACTAGTACTCTAAACAATCGTATCATAGAACAGCAATAACTGCCCGGGATTTACTGTAGTTTTTTAGTAATTCTTTGATATTCGAGGCCTTTTGTTATTCCAAAACATTCATCTGTGTAAGAGCATGTATTAGGACATTGGTTTAGGTCATAAAGGTTGGTGTATCGAGCCAAATAGTTCATTTTCCTTGGCGAGATATAAACCGATACTTCGTAGCTGACTACGTGGCTGTCTGATTCTGAGTTGCATAGCCTATATTTTCTAATTTGATGAGGGATTCTGTCTCTTCTGGTTAAAGAAAACAATGCTATTCACAGATGAGTATTCCTAGATGAAGATCNTCAAAAATTATTGTATATCTAGTTCCTTCAAAAGCTGCTAAATATTAAGTGAAAAGTAAATCAACAAGGAGTTACTTTCACAAATGTTTTCTCTTAATATAGTTTGATTTCAAATCACTTTGTGATTTATCAGTATAGATGAACATCTACATCTAAACCAGACCCTCCTTAGAGCGTCAACTCGGTCGAACTATTTTTGAAAATTGAGAAAGACAGTATATTACATGGTTGGTCAAACACAAGAAAAGTTTTAAATGAGCTCATTTTGAAAAAGTACTGAATAAGACAGCACTTTTCAACACCTTTAGGGCACGAGTTCACCCTGCTGTCAGGATCTAGTTTTTTAAAGTATTTATTTTCTTTGCCTTAGGGCCTGATTATATGAGGCGGGCTGTCCCGGTTGACCGGGCTATCCCTGTTTGCCGAGATCTCGGTTTGTATTCAATTACAAAAGATTCCGGCTGTGCGATTACATGGAAAGCGAGCCAGCCCAGTTTGCCGAGATCTCGGTAATCCACAACCGGGATACCGGCGGACTGGGCTGAAAATTTCCCATATAATCAAAAGTCAGGCGGGTTGGCCCGCTTTAGTGCGCCCGCTGTTCAGAAGTGTGTCAGCTGTTTTTGCGTACAACACATGAGTGCAAGGACGTCACTCGTTTTAACTTTGCCTTTCTTAGCATTTTGTTAATGCGATGCTGCTACAGAAGCTATTGCGTTATTGATTATCCGCATTCTTTGAATCATATAAAGTTGAAGTATTCCATGACTGGAAAAGCAGTGAAAAGAGCATACAAAATTGTGTTAGCAAATTTCCTTATCCTGGTCAAAGTATTATCTCTATTTTGTGGAGGTTTAAATTTCCGCGCCAAACCTTCGCGCCAAAACTTAATTGATTCAGCTGGAGCAGCCCGGCTAATCCTGTCTCATATAATTGCGAGATGGGATGAATAAATATTGATCTCGGCAAACCGAGCTAGCCCTCTTCATATAATCAGGCCCTTAGAGGTCAAGAATTTGAATTAATCAAGATGCCAATGGCAACATAACTCGGACATTGTAAGAGCTGCTTTTGCAAGATGGTCAGCTGTATTTTGAGCATTTTATTAGCACATTAGATAAGTTTATTTACAAAAACATGTAAATAGGTGATCATAAAAAATCAGAACAATAAGATCAGAACAATATTGGGAAAAATGCAATTCAACCGCCCCAATTCAACATTTAAATTGGATTAAAAAAATTGTATTAACTAACAAGATAAGTTATTAGTGAAAAATTTGAGTGGCTAATGCCTTCATGTATTGAAAGAACAAGTGAATTGGTATATCATAACTTTGTTTTGAGCTCCTTTGTTGAAGTATGAAATCCACATTGTTCTTTTGATTATTCTTTATGCTCTTGATTTGCAGTTTTGCAGAATTATTCCAGTGCTTTTCTTCCAATCACTGTTAAGCGGATTAAGGTTTATTGATAAAAATATAAGCTTATTAGTTCAGAGAGACATCGAAATTTATAAAAGGAAAAGCTTCAGCTTAGTTACATGTAAATTAACAACGGCGACATAAAGTTCGAAGTGTCTGTCTCAACTTACATGCCCGGCTGCCGTGTAAATAGTGGAAGTCAAAATGTCCGTTTGCGAAAAAAAAAATACAGAATTACTGAACAAAAGTCCTTGGTTAGCTCTAG